CTCATCTCAGGCTGAAGAAGACTGGAGCTCTGCAACCACACAATTCTCCACGGCAAGGCAAGAGACTGAACAAGCAAAGGTGTCTCAGGCTGATCCATTGGTAAACCAATGGCCATTTAAACAGCTGCTTTTGGAAAGGGCACTCAGCAGGAGAGTGATACTGGACACCTTTAGCATCTCAAGACCTGCAGTACCCAGTAATAAAAGCCCAGGCCAAACATTGCGGAAGGTAGGCATATATTTAAAGGAACCAGTCTTCACCCATGGACAATTATATCTTGCAATGTCTAGAGTAAAATGCTTTGAAAATTTAAAAATCCTCCAAGTTTGCAAAACTCCAATCCAAGGATATTTTAGAAATGAAGAAGAAACATTTACATCTAATGTGGTATTCAAAGAAATACTTTAATTGAAAGCAACAATAACAAATACTGCAAACAACAGAAAAATACAGAAATGAAAAGAACTGTGACGTTTAGAATTAACACATACAGAAACACATAAAACCAACAAGGAAACAAAATAAAAGGATTAATGCTTTGCATACATTCTGGGTACTGTATTGAGTCAGTCTCATCACAAGGAGTATATACATTTAGGAACTATAAATCCTAGACTGCAGTTTCAAAAAAAAAAAAAGCAACTACAACTTAAAACAAATTACAACACATTATGCAACATTTTGTTGCGGGTCCCTACTTGTAATAGTTTAATAACGAAGTTGGGATATCTTTGGATACTTAAAGCTAATGACTGGAACTGCCAACGGGCAAGACAGATCTTTCCACAACCCTGAAAGGGGCTCTAAGTTTGCAGAAAAATGTGAATTCTTAAAAAAAAAATACGCCAGGCAGTTTTAAAAAGCCAAAAATGGTAAAAGAGTGAAAGAGAGGAAGACACATATATGGAGGAGAGAGAGTAAGAAAAGGAGTGGCAGAAGGGAGAAAGAGTATGAGAGAGAGAGGGGGAGAAGGGAGGAAGCAAAGGTGGGGGGAATGGGATAGCAGCCCCACAAGTTTCTTGCAGGTCCCCACATTTGTGTGTGTGTGTTTCCCACTGGGTGCACATGCATGCACACACATATAATTTGCCTTTTCTTATAAATTTATGTTTTTGGTTGGCTACAAAGTGAAAAGGCCGTGCTTAAGCCATGTGACAAGAAAGAGGTGTTAATTAGCTATTAATTTAGAATTGCTGCAAGAAAAAACATTAGGCTGAAGACAAATGAACCAATTGAAAACTGCAAGAAGTGGAACCTTTGAACAGGACTTTTTCTGACTATACTATAGTATATCCATGGAGATAAATTTGAGGGAAATATAGGGCTGTGGAACCATAGTTTCAATTCTGCTTCCATGTGATAGCAGAATACTTCAGCAGTTCAAACAATCCTTATATGAATTATTTGGGTTTAAACCTTTGTGGCTAAAAAGAATAGAAAGGGAAAGTTCACAGCAGCTTGCCTCTTTAAGTGTTACCATTGTGATTAGCCAATTCTCTCTTCCACCCAGAGAGGTAATTCAGATTTTAAAATGAAGGACTAATTGCAGAGCGTTGACATTAAATGAACAAACAAATTACCCTTCTGACCAGAAATAGACAGCTCTTTGACAGCATGGTAATTGTTTTTTGTCTGAAGCTAATTATTGTTGGCTTGTGTTGTGGCTAATAATTAACTTATTCAGAGAACATTAATCCACATATATACATCTTCATTATCTTGTGTTTCTTGCTGTTTAAGGCTTGGCTCCTTGCCTACTTTAACATGTATTGCATAGTGCTTTCAAATACTGTTTTGATCTGATCTGAGCTTAACTGTTGCTGCCTTTTTTTAAATATTTGCTTTGCCATGCTGAGTTTCTGTAAATAATCTGAAAAGCTGTATTTTCAAGGTGTCTAAATACAGGCTGTAAGAAAACTGGTGCAACGCGAAATTCATAACTTATTTTTTTCCTTTAACTTTTCCTTGCTCATAAATTGCCCTAGACTCTCTCCTGTCAGTTTACAGCTCGTGTAAATGTTACTGCAGCTCACTTACTTGCAGAAAAGACGGCTCGTGCAAGTAGATGGTGTGTGAGAGCACAGGAGAAGGGAGAAACAGAAAACTGCATTTCCTTTTCCATGATTAGAAGAAAAATTATATTTATTTATTTATTTATTAATTATATTTATACCCCACCCATCCTGCGAGCAGGCTCAGGGTGGCTAACAAAGCAGTACAATGTACCTGATTGGCAAAACCATAAAAATGATTAAAACTACATAAAACACATACTCATTCAAGACATAAATTAACAATTAGCAGTAAAGTGCTTGCAGTACTGAAGATTAGATGGCGTGCTTCCAGATCTAAATCCGCGTTGTTCATCTAATCATCATCCCTCGCACCGATGGGCCTAGCGATACAACTGGGCCAGACCTAGGATCCAGACATTCAATAGGATCATTGATGATGACAGTAGTGGCGGCTCCTATTTAAATGCCTGGCAAAAGAGCTCCGTCTTACAGGCCCTGTGGAACTGTAAAAGGTCCCGCGGGGCCCTGATCTCCTCCGGGAGCTCGTTCCACCAGTAGGGAGCTACCACAGAAAAGGCTCTGGTCCTGGTACTGGTGAGCCTTGCATCCTTGGAGCCCGGAATAATCAATCGATGTTGGGTCCCTGACCGTAGTGTTCTCTGGGGTACATATGGGGAAAGGCGGTCCCTCAGGTAGGTTGGTCCCTGGTCATGTAGGGCTTTAAAGGTAAGCACCAGCACCTTGAAACAAATCCGGTATGCTATCGGTAGCCAGTGCAGTGACCTAAGCACTGGCTGGATGTGCTCCCGACGTGGGAGGTCCATCAGCAGCCTGGCTGCGGCGTTCTGCACTAGCTGCAGCTTCCGTATTTGGGACAAGGGCAGCCCCATGTAGAGAGCATTGCAGTAGTCAAGTTTCGAGGTGACCGTCACGTGGATCACCGTCACCAGGTCGCAGCGGTCAAGGAAGGGAACCAACTGCCGAACCAGCCGAAGATGATAAAAGGCCAATTTAGCAGTGGCTGCTACCTGGGCCTTCATTGTCAGGGAGGCATCCAGGAGCACCCCCAGAATCCTAACCTCCAGCGCTGGCACGAGAGGTGCTCCATCGAAGGCTGGGAGCGGGACCCCCAACCCTGAACCACCACGGCTCAAGCACAGGACCTCCGTCTTCACTGGATTTAGCTTCAACCGGCTCAGCCGAAGCCAGCCAGCCACGGCCTTTAACGCCCGGTCCAGATCTTCCGGTCTGGAGTCCGACCGGCCACCCAACATCAGATAGAGCTGGGTGTCATCAGCATACTGATGGCAACCCAACCCATACCTCCGAGCCACCTGGGCAAGGGGGCGCATAAAGATGTTAAACAACATCGGGGACAGCACTGCGCCCTGGGGTACGCCACACTCAAGAGGGCGTCTCCCAGACTGCTGTTCCCCAAGCACCACCCTTTGTCCCCGACCCTGGAGAAAAGAGACAAGCCACTGTAAGGCAAGTTTTTCTAATTACCAAGGAAGGAAGTGTGATCTTCAGCAAGTCCTCCCCTCCTCATGTTGTGCTGCCTATGTAACTATACCTCTTGTGTGAGTGGTCACTTCCGCAGGTTAAGCCAGCAGCAGAAATTTACTCACCAACTTTAGCTGTGTGCTACAAAATAATGACTGCTTTAAAGCAGCAGTTAATTTCAGGAAGAGTTCATAGTGGATAAGACACAGTCCTGTCTCCTCATAGAAAGAATTGCATGCACATATTATGTTGAGATGAATAGTAATTCAAGAAAGGTTTTCCAGTCAGTTCTTTTTAGTGAGAATTAGTGCAAGATGTTCCAGGCACTGTGTCCTTGGTGCACTTGTTAGATATGCTACAAACTGAAAAGATTACTTTTTGCAGTAATTCCGATACTTACCAGAACATTTACAGAGCCACTGTGGTGTGCCAGATAGCGTATCGTATTTGAATAAAGGAGATCTGGGTTCAGATAGCCATTCTGTGACATATCTCACTGGCTGGCCTTGGGCCACTCGCTATTGCTCAGCCTAATTTACCTCACAAGGTAGTGATGAGGATTACATGGGATTACCTCTCCTAGGGATGATGCTGAATCTCTCATCTCAGCTGCTTCAATTTTAAAAATCCTCATTTTGATTTTGCTTCTCTCCTGTTTAAAATGAACTCATGTATCATTACTTCCACACAATTCTCTGTTCTCTTGCACCAAATCTTCCACATAAAATGTATGCGCTTCCCAGCATTATTTGTACTTCTTTAAATCGGCATGATAACATTGTGTTGGGTATCACAGTCCTATTCTATTTGTGGAGGTCTTTCCTCTGGTGTAAGGAGCCTTCCCTAGGGCAAGATTCTTGGAATTGTGTCTTGTGTCAGAGGAAGATTTCTGCTGTAGGAACATTTCCCCCAAATCCAACCCTTTGTATGTATAAATTATATATATTGTACATATAAATATGGATTGTATTTAAAGCCTGAGCTGTATGCATACACAATGCAAATGAATCTACAAAATCAACAGTTGAAAACAGAGAGAGTTAAAACCCAAAGCTGTTGCCAAAAATATAAATAAGAATTAAAAAAACCCGATGAAACTGAAAATGCTCATTTTTTCCAAATAATCCCTATGTGAGCGGCCCTGAAATTCTTACAGGAAGGCTAGGGCATAAATATAATAGAAAATATTTACATTATCTAACACAGAGGATAAATAAGCAAACCGTCTGTTCGGTAGGTTCAGTAGGCTGCATTACATCTGTCTGGTGAATGCACTTGACATTGAATGTTGTGATTTTCCGAAGCTATTGTTATGGACATTTCCCAGGTTCGTAAGTTCTAGATGAATGTACAATATAGATCACATTAAGAGAACGTGACTCTGTGATACTCAGTTGTTGCAATTATAGAACCAAAATTTGTGCTGCTTCTGCAGAAGGTGGATAGATTTTTGATTTATTTATTTTTGGCTCACTCCACAGGGAAGAAGATGAGTATTCAGAACTACGATCAGAACTTAGTCACAGCCAACTTGAAGCCAATGAAGATTCACATAGCGTGGACCAAGATCAAGCTTCTGTTTCCGTCCCAGAGAACCAGTCAACCATGGTCACAGTTGACATGGGTGAGAAGTGTTTTTAAATGGAGATTATGTAAAACGGTAGCAGCAGGAAGATATTACAGCTTTTGATAGATTTATCAACATGTTCAGAGGAAAAATAAAGATTAATAAGGAATACCTTAAAGGCAGAATTAAAGGTGTTAAATTAAACTTTCCTGAATTCATCCAGTATAGCAGTAATCTGGCAGCTACATAGGAAGACTGGAAAATCAGCTTGTGAGCAATTAAGAAAAATAGGTCTTAAAATGGAATGCAGACATGTGTTTCTTTTCTTTCTTTTTTCATTTTGATGGCTGGTCACTGGGCAGGAGAGTCACTTGCAACAGGTAACCAGAAATCGGTCTATAAATGCTTTCAGTCATGAAAAAATTGAGAGGTCTGACAAATTTGGAAATTTGGATATGATTAAAATCCTGTGTTCCTGCTCTCTTTCCCATCTTTCCCTTATTCTTCCCTTTGTGTGTGTGGAGCTCAGATTGAAGGTTTCCCAGTTAAATATTTGATATAATTACTGTTTGTTGTGGTATCCAAATTCAAACCAGGGTTTGTTTATGTACACAAGTGTCAGGTCTCCCAGTAAAGGCACTCTCCAGAACACACTTAAGCAGTGATAGTTTATTGAGATATGCTTACTTTTGGAAACATGCTCTTTGTCAGAACTGAGAAAATGCACGAAAAATCCCCAGATCTTCTTCGTGGTCTCTGTGCATCACACCCATGGGATTATGCACCTGCGTTGATCCGAATCGGTGGTATGCAAAGCTCACAAAGGGATTTTCTCACCTCCCTCCCAGGCATGCCCAAGGAGGAGGGGCACAGACATCCCGCCAGTTCTCTTCTGACAGCCGCAGTGTTAACAGCTTATTTTCTTTTGGTTTTTTCCTCTCATGAGGGATTATTGAAATTGTACTTTTTTTGCTTACAACGTTTATTTTTTTTTTCTTTAGAAATTTTTTTAAAAGGACTTTTCGTTGAGGGTTGCTGCTGCCTCAGGCAGCTTCCCGCCTCCCCCCCCCCCCAGGAAAAATTTATTTCACCTCATCGAAGAGTCTCCAAGATCAGCTCTCATGGGAACTGGAATTGGGGCACGGCCTAAGGAAAATGGTTATGGCTACTACAAGCATTCACACTCAACATCACATACACTCCCCTCAGGAATTCCCTCTCCTCTATATCATGGCAAGCAGTGAAGTGAAATGCAAAGAAATGAAACTCAGCTTGACAACAAGTGACACTCTAATCTGTGGTTTTATCCTGATTTAGAATCCTACTTTTCCACACAAAAAATTCGGTTTGTTAAAGCTATCAAATATGGATATCACAAACAGATAGTGGTTCTTTGTGGCATCTGAATGCAGCCTATAAACAAGTGGTTGCAAAACACTGAACCCATTCTGGAGTGTCCATCTGAGTTTTCTCTACTGTTGAGTATTATTCTATCAGTTTTCCTAGTTTTCTCTGATGTTTTACACTTAGTGAGTTTCACTTTCTTTTAAACTGTTCCAGTAACCATATTGAGGGCTAAGACCACAAGATCAACTAACAAAGTGAAATTAACAATCAGCATTTTTCCAAAACTTGTTGCTTTCTGGGAGCTGTGTAATTTTTGTACAGATGGCTGGTTCCAAAATAACAGTTGGCCAAGTAGGGAGTGTTAAGGACATTTGTTTGTTAATTTTTTGGGGGGAGGGGTCAAACTCAAGCAGGTTTTGTGCTTCACAGCTTAGGCGTTCAGTAGCAATAACCTGCTTTGAACTCTTGGGTTCAGAAAGCACATTTTGTAGATGCTGAAGTGTTACAGAGATCTCATTTATAAGGATGACTCATTTCAGTATAGAACCAATTCTGCTATCAATTACATTAGAATATGTCGATGTGGTATATCTATGGATACAAAAAGCTTGTATTCTGGCAGTTTCTCTCCTTACCATTTATGTTAGTACTATTTTACTATCAGTATAAGTAGGGCACCCACGAGGGCTTGCAGGGTCACTTCATTGCCTCCTGTGTCATCATCCTCACACTATTTTCTTGTTCTCTCCTTTTGGCAGCCCCCATTTCGTTTTCCCTTTCCCTGCTTCTTTGTCTCCTTCACACTACCCAACCAACAAACCATTCTTTTACCTTCCCCCTCCTCAGTCTTCAGCTTTATCCATTCTTTATTTACTTCATTTATACGCAGCCTTTCCCCCCAGTGGGGGAATTATTCTTCTTTGCTCTATTTTATTCTCACAAAAATGATGAGAGAGTGACTGACCCAAGGTTACTCAGCAAGTTTATAGGGCAGAGTGGAGATCTGAACCTTGGTCTCCCAGGTTCTCTTCTAATAGTTTAACCACTACACCACACTGGCTTTCAGCTTTCCTTCCTTCCCTCCCCATGGCAGCCTCTATCTGAGAAAACTATGGGTGAATTGCAGTGCCAGCCACCAGGCCAGGCAAATTTGCACATTGTGGCCCAATTATGTGATGGGGAACCTGCAAGGACTTGCTGAAGGCACCTCATTTTCCTTTGTATCTCCTCCTCAATGGTTTCTTCTTTATCTCTTCCTGGCAACTCCCATATCTTCATCTTTAACTGAATCTTTTTCTCCTTCCCACTCACCAACCATCTTTGGATATTTTGGTATTTATTTACTTCATTTACACCCCAGCTTTCTCCAGAGTGGGGACCAAGAGCAGCTTACATCATTCTCTTCTCCTCCATTTTATCCTCACAACAACCCTGTGAGGTAGGTTAGGGTGAGAACCAATGTTCCCTCTAAGCTGTGGAGTCTTGTGAGCAAAAATTCTACTCTGTGAGCTACTGGCATTAAAGTCGTGAGTGAGCAATTTGACTACTGCATAAATGAGTTTGCTCTGGAGCCATCCTTCCTGAGCAAAGACAAAAAGGTGTGAGCCGGAGGCTAAAAACCTGTGAGCTAGCTCACACTAACTCAGCTTAGAGGGAACACTGGTGAGAACACATGACTGGCCCAAGGTCACCCAGTGAGCTTCCATGGCACGAGTGGGGATTACAGCCTGTAACAATCAGGACTACAAACCCAGACTGGGCAGGTTTACTTTCCTTTTGCTGCATTTGTCTTTCTAAAATAGAGAGATATGAGCATCATAACATAACATAGTATTGCAAGATGTCTGTTTTATGTAATTTGTCATCCACATCCTTTCCTCAATTTTTTTATGTTATTCCTTTTCTCCTATACATATGCTTAAGTTCTTTTTTTTTTTTTTAAAAATCCTTTTCTGTGGTTTACATATCATGCAAATTTATCATCAGCTGAAAACCCAGCACTACACGTTGTATTAATGCAGCAATCTCATTGATATACTGAACTACACTCACTTGTCATGATGTGCTAGTAAATTTAGATATGCTGCTCTAATGCTACAGGCAGTAAAACATCAAGGGCTAAAATAGCTAATTTCCCTTGCTGTATGTTACAAATTCTGTGACTGAATTTAATCGACCTTCTCCTTGAGATGTTGGTTCCTTTAGCCCTAGCTGCGTTGCAAAGTCTTAGTCCCTGCAAGGAAAGCAGCCTGGGGGGTAGAAGTTTAAGGATAAGAGCTTGTTTAGGAAAGGCATTGTCTTGTAAAATGTGACAAAATTTGTAGAACTTGTCACTTAGCTTCAGGAATGCAAGCAAAATAAATACGTTTTATCCAGTTCAGCCATCTCATTGGTGCATCCATGCCTGAGAAATTGTATTTTGTAACTGAACATGTAGAAAAATGATTTTTAAGTGGAGCTGACAGAGCAGAATTGTTTTTTCCCATGGGGAACTCGGGAATTTTTGCATACGAACAGACTTCAGAAGGCCATTTTCTTTTGCTTATCCATGCTGATAATACCATGGAATTTGATCTGTTGAGGCATTCTCTCTTTCGGCAACTGCTATAACAAAACTGAGTATCAGTTGTCCAGGACTTAGGCTTGTCTGCCTTGTGTCCATCCTTGTTGCAAGGGAGAGATAGCTTGTCTGGTGCAATGGAAGTACTTTTGAGCTTTGTCAGTGTGCACTGTCTCATTCCTATTTAAAAGGAATGGGGAGGATCTGTGACTCAGTGATGGAGTGCCCTCTTTACATGCAGAAAGTCCTAGGTTCAGCCCCTGATATCTCCAAATAAAATGATCTCAGCTGGTTTTGGGAAAGACTTCATTTACCTGAGATCTTTGAGAACTGCTGCCAGTCAGAGGAGTCAGTGGTCAGCCATTGTGGGGAACAGGATGCTAGACTAGATTGACCATTAGGTCTGATCCATCAGAGCTCTTCTTATGTTCTCTGTTTGCAAAACATAGCTTAAAATATCTGGTAGGATAGGGCACGGTACCTTAATTAGGCAAGAAAAAGAATTCTACTAGAAGAACAGCAGTGATGGTTGGCAGTGCTTGTGAATTTATATAATATGGATTTCATTGAAAATAAAGTCTGTGTAGAGACTTCCAGTTTGTGGATCAGCGTTGGCAGTCGATCTCTCCGGACTTCGGGGGAGCGACTCGCACACCAGCGGCATGGAGGGGTGCTACGTCAAGTAGCCCTCACACAGAGCTTTTGCGAAAGGCTCCAGATCATAGGGCTTTTGAGGGGCAGCCTCTTCTATGGCTAAATGCCGGAGAATTGAGGCTCCCCTCCGCCCTGATGGTCCTGCCGCTGTGTGGCCCTCGGGCACAAGCTGATTCGACTGAAACAAGCTCTGGAGATTGAGCGGAATATCGCTTACTGTGAGCGAGGTCAGAGAAATGACCAACAATGAACGTGAGTTGAAAATAAACAGAATATTTAAAAAGTGAACCCACCCCCCTGGTGGGAAAAGCGGTGCACAAAGAAGGACGCCTCTTATGCGAACGGACAGATAAGCGTAACGAAGGGGGCAGGGGGGGAAACAAGCAGCGATTTTGTTTTGAGGGACATACTTGAGCGCTGACATCGAGGTGACGATTTTTCGAGTCCGCGAGAAGCGCTTTGGAATTGTAAACAATCGTATATAATGGCGGCCTCGCAAAGAAAGTTTAAAGCGAAATCGGCGGGTAGTCAGAGCCCAAAACCGGAGGAGGGAGCAGACGTCATGAAAATGTTAGCGGATATGCTCAAGCCGGTGATGGAGTAACTCAATGGTATTAACCAGCAACTGACCTTGCTGAATCAAAACTTCGCATCCCAGCAGCTGCAACTGGCAGAAACGGCGAAGAAGGTGGAGCATATGACTGAGAGAATTAAAGAGATAGACACCACAAACAAGATAATGAAGAAAAGAATGGGGGAAGTTGAAGCAAAACAAAACCTCCAAGAAAACCATTTGTTACAGCTACAAATGGAAAAAGCGGCGTCTCTGGGGTCCTTCCAGGGAGTTCCTGAATCGGCGAAGGAGGATCTGAGGAAGTTGCTCAGCGAGATCATTGCCCCAGCAATAGGCTCAATAGCGGATGAAGTAGTAAAAGAGATGGAGACTGCTTATAGGGCATACTCCAACTATATTAAAAAAAATAGCCTGCCTGGAGAAATTGTGGTCAGATTCTCAAGAAGACAGACCAGAGATGCTATTTTAAAAGCGACTTCAGCAACTCCACTGAAAAGACACTAAAGCCTAGAAGTGAAGTCCCTCCACTACAAGCGTATAAACGGAGGGGGGGAGGGGACACCCTATCTCCTGACGTTTTAAGCAAATGCGAAAGCAAGAAGGGAGGGACTGATCAAACTTTGGCGATGGACTGTAGTGGAGAGTTTTTCTAAAAGAAAGCAGAGCATTTAAACAGACCTTAGAGACTTTGGCATTCTTTCTCAGCTGATGTAAACATCCCCAAAAGATGGCAACGAGAGGCGAAGAGGGAGGCTAAAGGGAGAAGCTGGTGGCTAAAGTGAGAAGCGATCTGGATCTGTACTAAAAGCAGCTACACTATTAAAGGGACAGTACGTTGATCATAGAGACGTATGAATGGCAAGGAGACTCTAAGTTTAGTTCTTTGTGGCTGGACTGGCAAGCTGATTGAAAAGCGGTTTTCTGGAGTAAAGGGCTCGCTACCCTAACTTTATATGATCTGCTTGCTAAGAGAAAGGTTGGAATCTCCAATGAGTGTGTTGTTATTGCAACAAAAGGAAAGATCTCTTTTGATCTAAGACGTTTAAGGAAGCGAAGATGTCCCAGGAAAAAAGGAACTTGGTTTATATCATGAATGGACAGATCCGGACTTATAAAAACTAAAAGATAATTGAATAAAGAAGATACATCAAAGACGGAAGAAGAAAAACGTGTTGTAATGTTCTTACTGAGGGAACATTGGTTTTAAAGATTTTGCCTGGGGGGGAGTAAAGCGTGGAGATGCTAAACTTTTCTTAAGGGCTGTGATTATGTGTGTTATGGCTTTGGAATTACTCTCTGTTCAGTCAGATAAGCAGGTTTTGTCAGCAGAAGCGATGATTGGCGGGCACGCTTCATGTTTGAAAGCAAATGTATAAGAGTAACAACTATGTTTTAAGCATTGTAAAACCTCCATTCCTAGGTTTTTAGTTAGGTTTTCTTTACTTTTTCCTATAGATTGTAGACTCTCCCTCCCCAATTTCTGTTGTAGTTTTATAGAAATGCAAATAAAAAATTCCCCCTTGGGGGGCTTTTAAAAAAGAAGAAGAAAAAATTCACTCCATTTTCAAAGCCAAAATTTTTTTGAGACGCCAGTTGGGAATGGAAGAAGAATCCAAAGATGAAGAATTGAAATCAAGTGACTCTGCTACCTCTGGAACGGAAGAGGACTCTGCTGTAGAAACGGGTGAAGGCGCAACGAAAGTTACATATGATTTCAGAGACAGAAAACCGAAGTAAAGGCAGAAGGACTCTGAAAATTGCCTTTTGAAGCAACTAACAAGAAGATGCTCAGAAAATTCTCTCACAACAACTAACATACTAGCATTGAAGCCAAGACAAACAAGAACTCTACAAGTATATTGTTGTACTAACACTTTTATTAATAACATTTAGACTAACACGGATATGATCTCCTCCTCTTGGGTTTTTAGTGTAGTGTGGTTATCTATCCTTTATCCTTAGATGTTATCCCCCTCCCTCATATTTTCTTTGTAGTTTTGTAGTCTTATAAAAAATATCCCTCCGGGGATTTCAAAAAAAGGGGGGGGAATAAAATAAAATAAAATAAAGTCTGTGTAATATGAACTTTTTAAAGTAAGTCATTACTTTTCATCAGTACATAGCAGAATAGTTTTAATTTAAGCATTATTAAATTGTCCATACAAGGATTTTTTTCTGGGCTAACTTGTAGTGCATGGAAGTAGTTGCTCTCAGTAAACATTACCAGTTAAATCAAACAGAAAAATCAGAAGTGACTGCCCACATTTCATTTTGTGTGGATGGCTTTAGTTTATCAAGAGGAAATTGCTTATCATAGAAATAAATGCCACTGAGTCCAGTCCCACCACTGTGAAGCAGGATTATCTATGCCTCAGCACTTCCTTTTTACCATCTAGCCGGCCGGGTACTGGTGTGCCAAAGGCAGAGAAAAAGACCTGCTCACTTGCTTCTGTAGCAGTAATGGCAGTTGCCATTTTATGTTTTGCTACTGATGCCTATAGTAGTGACAAGAAGGGTGCTTAAGACATAGGTTGTTGGTGAATAGAGAAAGAAAATGGTGAAAGCTTTTTTCTCTCTTTCCTTAAATACTAGAACTCAGGAGCAGCAAATAAAGTTGATGGTTAGTAAATTCAGGATAGAGAAAGGATGACTTTATGCAATGTATAGTTAACATTTATGCCAGAATACGGCATAAATGGCTTTAAAAAATTCATCAGTGGCTACTGGTTAAATGTTCGGATGGAGTGTGCTTCTGAATGCCAGTTGGTGGGGAGCAGTAACAGGAATAGGCTTTGGCATCTGGTCCCTTCTTGTCAGCTTACTGGGGCTTCTGGTTGGGTGACGTGGGAAATGGGGTTCTGGACTACACAGATTTGCTGCATGGGAATGCAAATAATCCTGTGGGCCACTGGCCTGTCTTATGCCTTCTTGACACTAGTAGTCATATATTACACAGTTCATGAAGTCATTCTAGAAAGGCTCTACTGTTCAGCCAATTCAGTCGCGTGTGAAAGACTGCTCTGTGTATTCTGTGAATATCTTATGATCTTTAAATACTGGTGGACAACTTTCAACCCTGCATAATTGTTAGGACAATTATCAGCCAATAGTAAATTAGTAACTTACAAGGTTAGGTTAATGGTGTTTGTGCTTGGGAGGGTCAGGTTGTGAAGAGAAATGTTTGCCCATTTGAGGTACCTTTTATAAGACCGTGGCTTCTCTTTCTTTAGATATATATTGACTTTTAGTGCTTGTCTGACATGTTTTTTCTATTGTGCAGATACCTGTAGTGACTTGAACTCTGAACTGCAGAGAGTGCTGACGGGTCTGGAGAATGTAGTCTGCGGGAGAAAGAAGAGCAGCTGCAGTTTGTCCGTAGCAGATGTGGACAGACATATTGAGCAGCTCACCACTGCCAGTGAACACTGCGACCTAGCCATTAAGGTGTGGTAATAGGAGCTAGTCACTTTACTGTGTAACTTCAAACCAAATGAACACTATGTTTTTCTACCTATGTGGCATTTTTCCTATGATAATCACAATCAGGGGTCGTTTCGTAGAAAAAGAGCTAGGGGAGCTCATTAGCATAACTCATTAGCATAGGCCCCACCCCCTGACAGCACCGGAAGTGTGTCATAAGGTCACACACCCTGCCCCCAACGGTTCCGGCTGCCGCCGGCCTTGCAGCTCCACTGCCGCCGCCCATGAGGGGCCCGGTGGTGGACCTGCAAGGCCGGCGGGAGTGCAAGGAAGCCCTGCGAAGGCCCTCCCTGGCCCCAGGCAGGCAGGGGTGGGGAGAGGCAGGGAGGAAGCAACTTACCCTCCCTCTTCTCCTGTCTCCTCCTGGCTGAATGAGGGCCGGAAGCGGGGCGGCCGGAAGCAGGGGGTGGGGCTTCGTCATGTGCCCCGCCCCCCGTACCTCACACGGGGGAACTGCGATCCCCCCCCGAAATGACCTCTGATCACAATGCATTTCATTGGACACAGCTTGGATGTAGAAAATTATCAGCATTGCTGCTTTAATAAGGGAATAATTAAATCACAGAGAAATGCTATATTGTTAAATAGACCAGAACTCTTGCCTGCCTTCCTGTTAGAAAGTTCCTCTAATCACTGACCAAAACAGTTGTCATGGAATGTACACATATATTGGAATGTTCACTTTCATTTTGATTCCTGAGTGTGTATGAGACCACAATAACCAGGAAATAATTTAGGTGGTAGGCAGTGTTCCCTCTAAGTTGAGTTAGTGTGAGCTAGCTCACAATATTTTAGCCTCCAGCTCACACAGTTTTGTCTTAGCTCAGGAAGGATGGCTCCAGAGCAAACTAATTTATGCAGCAGCCAAATCGCTTGCTCACAACTTTAATGGCAGTAGCTCACAAAGTAGAATTTTTGCTCACAAGACTCCACAGCTTAGAGGGAGCATTAGTGGTAGGTACTTTGAAGAAATATGAATACGAGAGAAGAAGAGATTGGATTTATATCCCGCCCTTCACTACCCAAAGGTGTCTCAGAGCGGCTTACAAATGCCTTGCCTTTCCCTTCCCCTCCCCACAACAGACAGGTGGAGCTGAGAGAGCTCTGACAGAAACTGCTCTTTTTCAAGGACAGCTCTTGTCAGAACTATGGCTTGCCCAAGGTCATCCAGCAGGTTGAAGTGGAGGAATGGGGAATCAAACCCGGTTCTCCCAGTCCATGCACTTAACCACTACACCAAATAAGTTATTAGGATTCTTTGTTGTAACAAGAAGATGATATAGGAAGTACAGAAACTAAGGGATAGGAAGTCCAAAGCAGAAGATAACACTAGATAACACTTGACTGGAAACAGGGTCCTGAGGAAGACAGGCCTGAAGAGGGATGAACATGGTAGGAAGTTGAGCTAATAGGAACTGGGGGAGGGGGACTTGTATAGATCCTAGTCCTAAGGATGACTGGAATGGCAGATACCCCAGCTGTACAGTAAGTTAAAAGCATTTTACCCCTCTCATAGTTGTTTCCCTTTTATATGAGGTAAACAGTTTCAGTAGTATTGGACCTTTAATTTATGAAGGACTATGTGCTGCCAACCTAGCAGTTTGAAAGCAAGAAATTGCAAGTAGATAAATAGGTACCACTTCTGTGGGAAGGTAACAGCGTTCCGTGCGCCTTGGTGTTTAGTCATGCCAGCCACATGACCATGGAAATGTCTTCGGACAGCGCTGGCTCTTCAGCTTTGAAACGGAGATGAGCACCGCAACCCTAGAGTCGGATTCGACTGGCTTTCGAGCAAGGGAACCTTTACTTTTACTTTTTATGTGCTGTGACAGTGATAGCACATGATGATCTGTGCATTGACGCAGCTGTACATAATTACCTATAACACTGGGGTGTCAGTAAAAGAATAATGATACAATGGATGATTTTTAAAAAAAAGAAAATGTCTAACCACTCTATTCTAAGGTGTATTATGGATAAAATTAGCAAGTAAATGCTCTGTCTTCATTGACTGTTTCCATTGCAGAATCTGTGTCTGATTTCCATTTCTTCATCAGTCTTTGTCAGACATTTCTCAGTGTGGGAGATATCCCAAGGCAGAAAAGTCATTCTGCATTGGCTAAGGCTTTTTAATCAGAAACAGAATAGGTGACGAGACCTCTTGTTCAAACATTGAAAATGCATTCCTGAGCTGCATTTTGATGTCAGTCTTTACAGTATTCTTATTATGATGTAGTGCTGATGTTTTAAAATTTCCTGATGTAGGATCTCTCAATAAAATAGCTTGATATTTGAAGAAATGTAATCTTATAATTTTTGCATAGTTTAGCACAGAACATTTTAGAGGATGACCCGGATTCAGGATGTCTGCTTTCTGGATTTCAAGTTCCACAGTTTTGTATCCTGTTATGTTCATTATTGCCCTGCCTCCCTTATACACTGTTGTATATTATGGATGATGCCAGTGGCTCCATTTTCTCTTTCTTACTTCCCACATCTGAGGTCAAGAGAAATTCTGTCATTTTCCTTCCCCAGAAGTGGTTGCCCCTTTGGAGGCTCTGGAGCAGGCAGCCACTCCCTGGGGTCATATACCACAAGTGGTTATAGCTTGTAATAAATAGATAAAGAGATGTGGTCTCTTGTGAAAAACTATGGAGGATGAAAGAGGTTTTTAGACAGATTATAAAAGATTATTCATACAGGGTTAGTTAAGAAGTAATACTAACTATGGTTATATTGAAGAAACAGTAATTAATTGAATTACTTTGCTCAAAGAGAGAAGGAGTAGAAAAGAACAGAGTGTACAAATGTGAGGCTAGTAACTATAGTTTTGTCTCTTAACTAATTAACTCTTGCTTGCTTTCTTCACATCCCAAATCCCAACTTTCACTGGCATCTCTAAGGCACGGGTCGTTTCGTAGAAAAAGAGCTAGGGGAACTCATTAGCATAACTCATTAGCATATGCCACACCCCCTGACATCACCGGAAGTGTGTCATAAGGCACACCCCCTGACATCACCGGAAGTGTGTCATAAGGCCACACACCCCGCCCCCAATGGTCCCGGCCGCCGCCCATGAGGGGCCCGGCGGTGGACCTGCAAGGCCGGCGGGAGTGCGAAGGAGCGCCCACAAACGCCTCCCTGGCCCCAGGCAGGCAGGGGTGGGGAGAGGCAGGGAGGAAGCAACTTACCCTCCCTCTTCTCCTGCCTCCTCCTGGCTGAATGAGGGCCGGAAGCGGGGCGGCGGGAAGCAGGGGGCGGGGCTTCGTCATGTGCCCTGCCCCCCGTACCTCACCCGGGGGAACTATGATCCCCCGCGATCCCCCCCGAAATGACCTCTGCTCTAAGGTAATATTGGCAAAACCATGAAGAGACCATGAGCGACATCACTCCTGGTCTTCTAGTTTAACTGTATAATATAGCCAGAGTAGTTTGAGAGGGAGTTTGTGGTGCATATTAACTTCAGTATTACAGTGCTGGTAAATGTTTGACAGAGTTGAAATCCTGTAGTTTGTGCAAGTAAACATTTCCCTGGTTTGTACATAGAAAAAAACCTTGAATCAGAATAGGTTGACTGGCTGTGTACACTGTAAAACATCTTGCTTATTTAGGATACTATTTTTAGAGCAAGATAAAAATTATCTGACTGTGTGAGATTTCTTAAAGGGGAAAAAATTGTTGGTCTTACCTAACGATTCAATGAGCTACTCCCAACTTTTTGATGGAAACAAGAAATTTATAATCAAAAAGAGGTAGCAGATAACATATGTCTGACAAATTGTTTTAAGGTATATAGGAAAACCCAAGCAAGGCATTTCCTTACTGGCCAAGGTTCCAGTTACCAGATATGAATGAAATTTTCCCTTCCAAGACTTTTTAAGTAATCTGAGGGGAAATTCCACACTAGTGCACTGTTTTTGGCAGAATACATTGAATAGTGCCTCTACAACTTCGTCCTTTTAGGCAAATGTCACCTGCACATTAGTAAACAACACAACTAAAATGTTTTCTTTCTGTAAACTAAAAAGTTCATGGGCATAAAGCATCTGCAATAAACTATTGATTTTGCCATAGTGGTGCTAGTGAAGGAAAGTTGATGCTAGAAAACAGTGAAGTTTTTAGTTTTCAGTAGTTGGTGCAAACACTGGACCAACTGGAGAACATTTACCTCACCACAGACAGATGTATTCTTGGGCTTGGATCGTGAACCTAGCACACTTGCACTGTGCCCTTTTCCATTGTAGCAGCAATCTTCTGCTGTAGAGGAACACATTCCTCCAGGAGCAAGACCAACATTATTCAATGACCCAAAAAGCATACAGTACCAAGGAAAGTGCTACACAGTGGAGAACCACCTTTGCAATGGAAGAAGATAAGTACAATTGGAGGCAAGGCTTAGGATTCAAGCCTTGGTATTGAAAACAGCCCCCCAAATGCCAACAACATTAGTGGTAACAATTATCATTGTTGGCTGCGGTCACACGGAACAGAAGCCACACAAGTGAGACGGAAAACAGGCGGAGTTTCTGGGCGCGATCTCACCAGCACATCTGGGAAGCGTAGCACTCCCGTGGCTCAACCGAGGCTTCCAGCCGAAACTGCGTGGCAAAAAACTAGTACCTCGGAGGTACTAGTTTCCGGAAACTGCGGGGCAAGGGCGGGCGTCTGATCGCGTTTCCGGTGGCATCTGGCGCCCGCCCATGTCCCCTTGCAAATACGGTGGGTTTTTTGTCCAAGTCCCTGTGGATGCGCACACGCACTCAACGGAGCATGCGCATTTGTCGTGTACACACAAAATAAAAACAGTTTGCCGCGGCGCGCGCTTCTTCGTTGCGCGCTGGCTTGTCCTGTGATCAGCACCTCTCCCTTGCCATGGAACGTCCACGGTACCGCCACAGGACCTCCACGGGAGGTCTGATCGCGTAACCGCGCAGTAGTTTGCCCCAGGGCAAACAGCCACGCTTCTCCCCCGCAGTTTCCTGCCCGTGTGACCGGGGCCGTTAAATGTTATCCCTTACAGTTTGTCACCATTTTTGTTGGTTTTAAATGCCTTGGCTTCAAAAATTAGATATAGGTCCTTTCTGTACACACATCTAACTGTAGCTTAGTCCAGATAAGTCGGGTTGACTTCAGATCTGTGTGCCTGATCTCTGCACTATTCTTTTTTCTCCACTTTATTTATTGTGTATTTGTGTATGCGTTCTGCATCTACAATCTACAAATACAATCTTTTGCTTAATTTTGGTTGTGACGTCACTTGTGACCAGTGTGGGGTGGTGAGTCACTGGGAGACCTCTCCGTCAGTATCCTGGAGAGAAAGTGGAGGGGAGACGGCTGAAGGACTCATGGAGGGGAGGAGGGAGGGAGGGAGCCAAAATAGGAAGGGAAGGAGGTGCCGAGAGGGGGGAGGAAAAATGGGGACGGAGGAACAGAGAACGGGAGTGAAGAAGAAGCCAGATCGAGACACGCAGCAAGAGCCGGCCAAGGAGGGCAAGCCAGCACTGCAGGGCTGGGCAAGATGGGCACCTTTTCACTTCAGTGAAAGGAGAAGCCCGCCAGCCTCTCTGGCCCTTTTCACCCACACTCCTCCTGCTGCAACAAAGCCCCTGCTGTTGTCCAGGCCTCCTCCTCCTTTCCTCCCACCCCACCCCTCCCCTGAAAGCTGAGGAAGAGCCATACGGGCTGTGACTTCCCCGTTCCCCTTCCCTGGGCCTGAAATTGATGTGTGGCTTGCCAGAGAGAGAACCTAGAAAGTGGCCAGCTGGCAGACTTTTGTTTAGTTGGTGGTGGAGGGGTCAGGGAGAGGTTGGCAGGCTTCTCCTTTTGCTGCAGTGCTGCTCGGATTGTCCCCTTGGGAATGGGGCAGCGTCAGGCCGGAGGAGCCATGGAGGAGCAGGGCAGGCCACTTCACCCACACCTTTGGCGGCTGCCTTTGCCAAGCACTCACTGGGGAGTCTGGTGGAAGGAAAGGCGACTTTGCATGGGGATGCCTGGCCATCCTGCTTCACCACCCCAGACAGTATGAAAGTGGTGCCAGCATCTGCAAAGAGGATTGGAAAGTGTCCAATTTCCAAAAAAAACCCCCAGCAACCCAGAGCTAAATCAGCCAATAAGAATGTTGATGACGCATCCTTGATGCCTCAGCAAAGATGATCAAACTATGGTTCTCTTTATTATACAGGAGTAGAGGTGAAGAGGAAAAGGTTCGAAACCTGCAGGTGGGGCTTGGAGATCTGGCATTACTGCTGATCTCTAGGCTACAGAGAGCAGTTCCCCTGGAGAAAACAGCTCCTTTGGAGGGTGGACTATAGCATTATACCTTGTGGAAGTCTCTCCCCTTTCGAAACCCTGCCCTCCCCAGACTGCACCCCAAATCTCCAGGAATTTCTCAACCCAAAGTTGTTAGTCCTATGGGAGGCAGTGTTCTTAGAGGGATATTTCCCTTGCCTGCATACTCTCTTACTGCATTTGTTGCCAGAAATGATTGTGTGTTTGATAAATTTGCCAGAAATGCTTCCGGAACTATTTTAGTCAAGCTATTTTCATCATCTGATTTCTACTGTAGAAGATTTCCAGTGCTTTGCATTTGATTACTTATTCTTATTTCTTCATTTTTTCTTATTTCAAAAATTAAGTCCACTGTATACATCCTGACTCTTAAATGTTCTGTGAAGAATCTTGTCTTCTGAATCTTGGTTGATGGAGATCTGTGGACTTATTTTCAGAATTCATTTTATGTGAGAAACCGTTTGGCTGGTTCTTAGAAGTGATGGCTAATCCAAGAAGAACTCTAATAGTGTATTTGGTTTACTAGGTGGGTTGTAGAGAAGAAGTTGTAAAACTACTTGCAAACATTATGGTGGGTTTCACTATTTATTTTAATTTTTATTGATTTTATTGATTTTTATCTCACCCATTTGAAAGTAGAAATCCATAATCAATATCTTAGATGCTTTTCTATATGCAGAGCTACACAGTCAGTTTCTCCAAATGCACAGCTCTTTCTCGGTCACACATATGCTAGTGATTACACGGGGAAACATTTCTGTAGACTATGTTGTAAAATATAGTCCTGTGACTGAAGAAGTTGCTGCCAGTTATGTACAGTCTGGTTCACACATTTTCCATGTGCTTTCTCTCTCCTGCACGTGGCCAAGGTGAGCTCTATAAGCAATAATACCTCTTAGAACTAACATCAGTCAAAAATTGTTCAGCCCAATTAATCACTTCGGTATATGCAGAGAAGCTGCACTCCACAAGGGCCAAACCTGTAGCGATGGCAGCAACCACAGTTTTGCAGCCTGCCCTGTTCAACATAAAAAAATGAGGTAGTGGTCTGATTTTTATAATACAGGTTGCACAGGTATGAGAGAAGCAGACTCTTCCCCTACTGTTTACTTCCATGCTTTTCTCCCAGTCTTTCTTGGATATCAGTAGTCTACTATTGCCCCTTGCCTTGAACTGTGTGTGTATGAGGGAGGTTCAGCTCTTCTGCTGCAATTCTTAATCAAGATTTATCTGTACAGTGGATAGAATGTAAATTTAGTGGAGATTAAGGTTTGCTTGATCCCTTAGCATGGAGCAGAGAGAGTCTGATTTTGCCATATCCCCAGTCAGCTCTAGCGTTATAAGTCACTGAGCTGTTAAAGGGTAGGGGCCTGTCTGGTTAAAAGTGGCTTTGGTTTTGCTTAATTGGCCCTCTAAAACAGCTGTTCACTTCCTACATGAACTGATTAAGTGGAGTGCACTCTATTATACATTTTAGAGTTTAATTAGTGTATTTGATGTACTTTAATCCCAGTGAGCAAATGTGAGCTATAAATGCCAGTAGCATACTATAGTTTATATCAGTATAACATGATGTAAAATGTGATGATGAGGATGATGAGGATAACGAGGATGATGATTTTGTTGAAAAAATGCTTGTAGATTTTTTAAAAGTGACATTGCTGGAAACAAACATTATTTTCTAATAAAAATTGCCTGAATAACTTTAATGAAAAAGAACAGATTAGAATGTGTCTATTTAAGTTTGTAATTTGTTTAGTGCATCCATGTGAAATTATTGATCTCCTCTAATAGTCTGATTCTTTCCATTTTTGCAGACAGTAGAAGAAATCGAAGGTGTGCTAGGGCGAGACCTCTATCCAAATCTGGCGGAAGAGAGGTCTCGATGGGAGAAAGAACTGGCAGGCCTGCGGGAAGAGAATGAGAGCCTCACTGCAATGCTATGCAGCAAAGAGGAGGAGCTGAACAGGACCAAGGCCACCATGAATGCTATCCGGGAAGAACGAGACAGATTACGCAGAAGGGTAAGGCTGCCAGCCTCCTGCATGACACATGGATGTATGGAAATAGGCCTGACAGAATACAGGGAGCAGTAAGCAGACTCTGTCCTAATTTGCAGTTTACTTCTCTCAAGGGCCTTTGCTCCTGCCTCATTTGCTATTTTCATGCCCTTCTAACCAATGGTTTCTTCTTTCAACCGCCATCTTCTCTTTGATGGATACCTTTCTAGGACTGCTGAATGCCAGCTCTCATAAACAGAACTGTGCAAATGGAAAGGTCTGATGCTTAATTTGTCTTCCTTTAGGTACCACAACACTTGATGTTTGCAAAGAATGCAAATATAATTAATTTGGGGTATCTAAGGTATACAGTAGACTTACAGGAGCCCATATGTAACCATATCAATAGGGATCTCCACAAGAGAAAGATCAGCTTTTCCAACATGACAGGTCTTTGTGTTTCAGTAAGTTCTTTTTTTGATAATTTGGGAGGCCATAGTGGAATGATTCATTTCTGTTTTCATATTCTGGTTCTTTGTTAACTAAAGTCCTTACTGGTGATATGGACTCTGAATTAACAGAACAGAAATTATGGAAAGAATTTTATATGTGTGTATGTGTGTGTGTTGCATAAACATATGTAGACAATACAGAAAATAAAGAAAATATTGTTCTTCTCATTGAAGCTTTGCCCTGGATGTAAGTGGGAATTTTGTAGGCTAATTCCCCTTCCTGTATATTTTAATAATATCCTCTGTTGTCTAAGGAGCCTGTCCTTTGGATATTATTTTCTGAGCCTGTGATGCTCTTTTGTATATGTCATTAGATTGTATTGTTTGCTATTCTCATGCATGAATAACTCCCCTTTACAGTTTCACTCAGCAAAGATGTCTGGTCAGCACATTAAAGTGTATTTGTGTACTATTGAAAAGGTTACATATGTCATCTACAGTGTTGCATAATTAGGTACACAGTGGGTGTGCACCTAATTTATAGGTGTGCATAATTCCTTTTCTTTTTTATTTTTATCCCTCTTTTCCCCTCATCACCTGTGAGGTAGATTTGGCTTATAGATTGTGAGGGCCCATTGTCACCCAGAGAGCTTCCAAGGCATGACAGGAATTTGAACCTAGTTATCCCACTTCCTAATACAACACTCTAAGCACTGTACCACACCAGCTCTCAACAAAGCTTTTGAGTGTAGTTGTCTACATTTTTGTATATCCATCAATGTATGAGTCCTTTGTTTATGTTGTGTGTGCGCTCACGCGCATGTGCCTATCACCTTGTACTGAAAAAAAGCACTGCTGCTACTAATTTTTTAAAGAAGACTGTAAGGAGCAATATTATTCGCATCATGACCTCCTGATCTTATATTTGCTTCTACTTCTTGGCCAACATCTATGAAATTTTCTTGTGCCCTCTGAAACTGTGTACAATTTTATAGTCTGTAGGTTGATTTGGAAGAGTTTTAGTTCCATGTAATTTTGAGGGGTTTGTAAGGAAATTTGGTTGTGTTTGAGATCTACCTTAAATCTTTTTTTATGCTAGTAAAGGGGATGCACTCTCTTAACTTGCAACTAGCCTGCTGAAGAGGGTCACATGAAGGAATAGCCCAAGTGCTTCTGCTTTAAACTTCTAGCAATCGTAAACTAGCCAGTAGAATAGCTGGAGTTCATTACCAGTTCTGAAGAGAGCACCTTTTGTGCCACTCTCTACCTTACAGTCCTTTCTTCCTTAGTCGGTTCTCAGATCTTCAGTTTTTCATCCTCATCCCCAACAACTGATAATCGTGGAATGAATTAGCCTGCTTATGCAGACCTGCCTTTTTCCTAGTCATGAATGATATACTGCGGGGTGCTCTAGCCTTGATTTTGTTGAGACTTAATTACCAGAACACCCTGCCATAGTGAGAAAACAGTAGGAGTACAAGGAGTATGTAAGATAAATAAAGTAAGATGATGAACAGCTAAAAATATTTGAGTTGTGACCTAGGGATATAGTTGACTTCCTCTCTTCCTGTCTCCCTCCCCCACTCTTTTGATATGATGTACAGAGACATCAAATACTGTTTTATCTTTGTAGCAATGTTGTCTGAAATGGACAGTCTGTAAAGGTTCCAGTTGTAAGTAGGAAGGAAACCAGGTGTAATTTTCTCATTATTTGTGTTATGCTAGTTGTTTTCCAAACATGAATACATGTTTCATGGAAGGGGCTGTGGCTCAGTGGAAGAGCCTCTGCTTTCATGAAGAAGGTTTCAGGTTTAGTTTCCAGCATCTCCACTTAAAAGGACCAGGCAGCAGGTGATGTGAAAGACCTCTACCTGAGACAATGGAGAGTTGCTGCCAGTCTGAGTAGACAGTACTGACCTTGATGTTCTTGATGGCCTGATTCAGTATAAAGCCACTTCGTGTGTGTTTATGTGTGTTTTTGATTCCATGCTTGTATTTCAGAAGTCTCAGTAGGCTAAGCAGGCAAGTTTCAGAACAATGAAAAGTCTGTAAAGGCAGTAAGTGTTAGAATTCACCATTTTTGAATGTCTTCAGAAAAGAGCTGGTGTTAGTAATAATAATAATAATAGTTCAGTTATACTTTTTGCCACAATCTGGTCTTTGGTCTCTCAAGCTTTTTTAAAGGCTCATCCATCTTTGGTTCTGGTTCCTAAACTAAATGATATTATGACAACATAGTTTTATTGGCAATGTTCCCAAGGCTTTTCTCCTTGTTTTTGAAATTTTGAGATAACCTGCCTTCATCTGTTCATTTATTTGTTCATTTATTTTTTTAAAAAAAATTATTTATTTTGGAGCTGTCCTTGATATCCTTCCGTTCCTTGCCCAGCCAACCAAGTCATCTTCTGTCCCAGCCTTGCCTCTCCTTGGCTCACAAGCAGGCATCCATGCTCCTTTATAGATTCTTTTTCTAACTAGGAGCCAGTCTACTTTCGATCTGGCTTCCATCCCATATCTGTTGATTCTATAAGATATGGGCAGAGCATCAAAAGCAGTAGCAGCACAGAAACCAATGAGGTGTAGCTTTCCCTCCCTGCTTGTGGTTCTTTCTTGGAATGTCTTTTACACAGGTTCAAATATTAGAATGAGGAAAAGGAGATACTGAAGGAGGATGAAGGTGAGAGAAAGAAGGGGAACACACACATGCACCTGTGTATGGCAGATAGCAGACTATATTCTTGGGTGCAGACTTTCGGAAGCCACATTCTGGTCTTCACACAGAATGCTTCCTTGTGATTGAAAGTGGTTACAGTTTAGTGGCATTGCTTTCATTTCTTTGAATTGTTGACATAAGCATTTGAACTATGACAAAACATATGAAATCTAGGTTCCAGATTATTAAACACAGAATTGAAAACTATTTTGTGCCTTTTTCCTTCTTTCAGACTTATTGGAAGATTTCAGTCTTGTGATCTAAACCATACGTTAATTTACGGAACAGAGAGTTTATTTCCCCCTGGAGGAGTCTGTTTATTACAGCTATCCATGTCAGCCAGTCAGTGAACATTAGGGAACTTATTTGCATTTGTAATACAGTCAATAGCTGCCACACAAATAAATGTTTTCTTTGACCTACTAAATATTTCATATCTGCAGCCCTGAACCCAAGAGTCACTACAGATTATTTCCCCAGAGGGTGAGAAAGGAGCCCTGCTAAAATTTAGCTTTGGTTCTATACAGATTAAATTGGGTAGATAAAATAAGTTGAAGCTGAGCAGATCAATAGGGCTGTTACTTTAGCCCAATGTCTGTAATCAAACAAAGTGCTCTCAATGGGGTTTCAGAGGCTTGTTAGAGGTTTAATTAAATTAGATATTTAATGCATTCAGTTAACAGAGTGTCCTGCTTTGCAGTGCAATAACTAAGAAATGACACATGTATGGACTTTTATTTTTCACAGGTCATTAGTAAATGAGGTAATTACTTATTTCTGTAGGAAATAAGGAAACATGAGCAACATAAAAACTTGATGGAACTAATTGAGTTCCATTATTCCCTATAGGAGACTTTTTCCACAGGGCCTGGAGTAGCTGTTTTTCAACCAAATGATACAAGAATTGTAGTGAACCTAGGGCTGCCTGTCCACTAAAGACTGTCCAAGTCTCAAGCAAATTGAACCAAGTGGTTCAGGTCTGTGGGCCCCTGAACAACGTGTCTCCAGTTCTCCTTCTTGAAAAAAGGGCCTTGTCCTCACAAAGGGTAGGACATGGCAGGACATTGCGCCTATGGAAGATTCCCCGAATGCTTTCTTAAAGTACAGCAGCTTCATTACCTGAAAGTGGTCAAGCTTTAGGCTCAAGCAAACCTTTTTAGAAAGCCTCATCTATTGTTTGAGTGAATGAATCCAAAAGTTTTAAAATGCAAATTGTTAACAAATAAACACCATTATTAAAATGACATTAAATATAGACCAGTTAAGTGCTAAACAATAGCTGGTAGCACTTTTCCCTTGTGAATTTGGCCCCTGTTCATATTGGAACTGCATCCAAATTACCTTTGTAGTACTATATGTTGCACACTGAAAATGGGAATGGCTCAAATGACCCAGGGCTAGAGCAATAGTCAGAGAACGCTCATGTTGTATTCTTCTAGGCAACTCATCCATGAAGCGTGTGTCCCACATGGATCAATCAATCCCTGGAAATGTATTGACTTCAAATCAGAGAGCATGACTTACATTTCATAGATACAAGAAAGTATCACAAGCTATTCACATAATAATATTATGGGTCACAGCGCCTCAAAATTAGTGTTCAGGTCCAGGGTCTGCCTGTATTTAAAAATCAAATGAGAGCTGGCAGTAATTGGATTTCTCTTCAATTAAGCAGGCAGCCCAAGTTGATTAGATTTCAGTTGTATTGTATGCAACAATTATGGTTGTTACTTGTGTTACTGGCAGTACAGTACTAAGCGGAATTCACCCTTCTAAGACCATTCACTTCACTGAATTTAGAAGGGTATAAATATGTTTAGGATTGCACTGTGAAAGCACTTAAAGATATACTTTAGCAA